TTTATGGCCTTCTCGTTTGCAGTAGGAACAAGTAGCTTTACTTGTAGTAGGTTTTCTGTCGTTTGTACTGCTGTTCTTGATGGAGTTGCTAGCAGTGGACTCAGGCTGTTTGACTTGTTTTGGCTTGACATCCGTCGTATACTTGGCAAATTGATGTGATATTATATAATCGTCTGCCAACACTGCAGCCTTGTGCACATCTTCCTCGCCACGATCAGCTATATGCGTACGGACGTCCAGCCGCACACAACTCTTGAACTCTTCCATCAGCATTAGGTTCTTGAATTTTGCAAAGTCGGTGCCGATTTCCCTGGAAGTGAGCCATTTCTCAAAGTGTCGCTCCTTTTCCCGCAGGAATTCTACATGGGTTTGGCCATCCGATTTGCGACAATCCCTGAACTGCTTTCGGTAAGCTTCCGGAACAAGTTCATATGCCTTAAGAATTAAGGCCTTAACAACATTATAATCTTTTTGTTGTTCAATGGTCAAAGAACAAAATACCTCTGCAGCTCTACCAGTCAAAACTGTTTGCAGCAAAGTGGGCCACAAAGTTTCAGGTACATTAAAATTTTTCACAGCAAGTTCAAATTGTGGAAAATAATTGTCAATTGTGGCTTCATTAAAGCGTGGAATTATTTTCAAAAATTTTGTTGCTTCAGCAGTATGACTGGCAGGGGAAGAATCTGGTCTTACATTAGCAGCTAACTCTAATTTTTTAAACTCTATTTGTAATTTCATTTCTATTTCTTTCTGCTCTCTCTGCTCTCTAGCCGCTGCAAGCTCTAATTCTTTTTGTGCGGCCTGTTGTTTAATTTCCTTCTCTTTTAAAGCTAACTGGGCTTCTATTTCCATTTGTTTTAATTTTATCTGAAGTTCTAAATCTGATTTACCCTCATCGGGTCTAAGGGTTTCTAAAAGGTCTTCAGAAAACACTTCCTCGTCTACATAATGGATTACAATGTTATCTCTGATTTCTTGTTTAAGGGCATTTGATTTTATTTTTAACCCTAACTGTTTAGAAATAAGGACCAGTTCCTTCCTAGTACAAGCATCAAGCTCTTCCACAGAGGGATTTGCAAGAAAAACCTGAATATCCATGGCTAACTAACAACTATTACAAGCAAAAAAAAATGTATACAATGTAAATATACAGTACAAAATCAGTACAACAAAAAAACCTTAAGAGAGTTTGGTCAATACTATTGATACTTTACTTCCGACTCTTTGACACAAAAAAAAATTTTGTTAAAGTCAACTTCGCCTTTACAAAATTAACTCAAGTAAGACGAAAATAGGTTCAGAAAAATATCCCGGACGAGCCCCCAAACTTCTTTTGTCACGTATTACAAATTGAATTCTACTTTTAAATGGCTTGCCTAGGGGAACGTGACAATAGAAAAAGGTAGTTGTGTCACTTATCTTAAGTCTGAATTTAATCAGAGACTTACAATGAATAACAAAAAAAAAAAAATGACACAAGAAATCGGAAGGTAAAATATCAACTTAATGTTTAATCATAATATAACTCAATACAAAATGGAAGGGTTGACCAAAACCCTTTTACAAAAATGGCATGTAAAAATATTACAATACAAGTGTTTGAAAATATAATTACAAATACAAGCAAGGCCTTGAAAAAAGAAAAATCTTAACTTACACGATCAATTGGTATACCACGCACGGGTCACGCAATGTCTCCACTATTCTGTCTCACGGCTGTCTCCGTATGTCTGTCCGTCAACGTTACGCGAGCGGTCTTTATATAATCTACCGCGCGTCGATATCTAGTAATTTCTAGAACAGAAAGTCATCAACACCCAGATCTAGAACGCTCTTCAAAGAGACAGAAGAAAAGAAAAAAAAACCACCCTCCTTTCAACCAGAGGTACACACATAGGTCAAGGACCGGTCACTGTCTGTGTGGCTTGACTCACCGTGAAAAATAAAATATAAAAACTTATTACACAAGGGGCAGACAACCTACAGGTCAAGAAAAAAAAAATAGTATCTAGGTAACAATGCCTAGATACGTAACAAGGGTCTCTGTTGCTGACTACTAAAATCTGTTTTAGACATTTTTGATGAGCCACATTTAGCTTTTTCTCTCCTGGAATTTTAAAATATCTCCTTGAATGTCTTGGAATTTTGCAGATCTAAAAAAAAAATTCGGCACCTTTGCAGTGGATGGGCCATTGTGGCGGAAATAAATACGAAGTTAGCGTTTCTGAGTTTGCGCAAAATGTATTATATCTGAAAAGTGATGACAGAATTTCATATACCATGAGTATGGTAATTTAATTTAATTATTAAACCTAAATTACATCACCTTGACTATTGCTATATAATATTTTGGCGTGAATTTTATGACCTGGAATTAAAAAATTTCTGGAAAACTTCTGGAATTTCATATTGACTTTGGTGCAGAAACCCCGCATTTACCTACTAATAAGAAATGAGTTGTTGTTTGAGTCATAGAGATTTTGAGCAGACATTGCAAACTATTTTTGTTAATTCTATATAATTTCTTTCAACTCTGAATTTGTCCCCAGCACCACTGTAGAAACTGTGGAAAGGCTCTGTGTAACAATTGTTGTAGCAAATTGTCAACTATCCCCAACATGGGCTATGAATATGAGGTCAGAGTGTGTGACAGCTGTTTTGATGCAATAACACCAGAAGAGTAAGCTCCCTTTTTCAAGAATTTTTTTTTTTGGAATCACATTGAGCTGTGTCTATAACAAAACTAGTTCCAGAAAAAAAATCAATGTTTTAAAAATAAAACGTTTCTAAAATCTTAAAACTGCCCTTGCTTCAAGATCTTTTTTTCAGCGAAGATTCTGTAAAGTCTTAATAAATTGGCCTTTTCAAAAGAAAACATTTTCCTGTTGGTCATATTTTGTATTCTTCAGTCTAAACTTTGACTCATGGTACATGTCACATTCTTTTTTGCCTGTCCAAAACTTGAATTTTGTTTTGACAAGTCTGGGAAGCCACATGCTCTTGGCCTTTTAGGTGACATTTGCATTGCATACAACAGCAAAGGCTTTTGAAAGAAATTTCCAATTGGTCATTGAAATTTTTAAAGATTTTTATCTTTTTTTTTTGGTACTATTTATCTTTTATCTTATCTTATATAATACAGACGTTACTTCAAAAAAGAAGATGTTTACGTCCTACGCAAAAGTAAAAATGCAATTTTGTCCATTGATCAACCTTAGCAGTAGTTAGTTTAGAAATTTACCTTTTCCAGTGTTAGCTTATAATTTATTTTAATCCATAGTTAATATATAAATCATCCAAAGACACATTTAAGTCAAACTAAGAGACAGTGAATTGAAAAAGTATTTTTCTGTATGCATCTAGGAAAGCTCCGCATGCCACTTTCCATGATATGAAACACAGTATTGTTCATATGCATTTGGATGAGACTAGAAAAATTCTCCTGACTACAGGAAAGGATAGAGTCATGAAGGTGAGATAATCTCTTCTGCATAAAGTTCTAAGCCTCACATTGTATCTCTTACATATGGTTCTAAGCCTCACGATGTATCTCTTACATAGTTTTAAGTCTCACTATGTATCTTATACATATAGTTCTAAGCCTCACTATGTATCTCTTACATATAGTTACATAAATTAATTATACAACAGCTCCCTCAATTAGCCTTTGTTTAAATTGTATCAAAATCTTAGAATTTTAAAATTAAGGACTTTAAGATTCCAAAAATTGTTTTATAATATTACTTGTCCAGGTCTGCTGGTAATGTTTGGTGAGTTGCATATCTAATGGTATAATTCTTTGAATTTTTTTCAATCAGCTTATAAACTAGACCATATTATTTAAAATGACAATGTCAGTGTAATTAATTGTATTTTACTTTTTATTGAATCTCTGACTCAAGTTTCTTTTAAAGAAAGTGGATTACTTAGGCTAACTTACTGAACTCAAAACAAAGTTCACTTAAATTTACCATTCATATATACTAAAGCCAAAGACTCACTTTCTAGTTGAACTAAAACTTCTTTTCTAGGGGCATGGTGGATGATTGGTAAAACACTTGGCTTTTTAACTGGAGTTCTGATGAATCCTGGTGAAAACTGGGATTTTGAAATTCTTAATTTTTTTAGGGTTCCCCTGAGTCATCCAACTCTAATGGGTACCTGAAATATGTGCTGGCCTCATGACGCATTGGTTAACCATCGACCACAGAAATATTTGAGTTTAACCTCATCTGCCTCCCATAAATCAAAAGGTCTTAAAGGAGAACCTTTACGTTCTTCTTTTTAACTCCTACTGTTCCAATACAAATTTTGAACAAAATAATTCCCTATATTAGTGTTTTGTGTTTTGCATTGTTAACTTTTTGCATTAATAATCTAAATTTTTTTTTTCCATTTCAGTTGTGGGATATGAGCCTGGTGTTACATTAAGTTCTATACCACACAAACATGTTGCTATTGCTCTTGTCAAATTGTACTGTACAGCATTTACTTGAAATGTTTCTAAGGAGACATTGAATGAGGAGAGATTCAGTGAAGAATAAATGCGTCTAAGAACTAAGAGATTTTTTTAAATTTTGGTTTTTATGTTTTATCTTTGTATTATAATTCTGTTCACTATTTTATTCAGTTGAATGACTGTCATCTGGACTTCAAAATAAATTGCTTTTGGTCAATGTCCCAAAGTTGATGCAAAAATGAAAGTTCATATGACATTTGATTTTACATGTTTTTGCAGTCATGAAATGTTATTTATTAAAACAAAACTAAAAAAGCATAATAAAATGTATTATCTGTTCTAAAAAGTCAGATTGAATGATTGAATTTCTTCAGGAGAAAATCTGACGAACAAAAAAATATTTGCATGCCTTACATGCTTGAGTTGCCCAAATAAAATAGTTTACTATGTATGGTAGATTGTTTTATCCTCATCATATTGCATACCAGAAGTCTAAATGGTTTGTTGCAAACTTTGTTGTTTTTGTTTTTTTTTCATTGTCTGAAATGTTTACATTTATTTTTTTTTTTTTTTGCTTCTTCAGAATGTTTTTTTAATTTTGTTCATATTTCATATGCAATGATTTTTTTTTTCTTTGTGTTTTATTTCAAATTACAAAATGTTATAAGAAAAATGTTTCCCTATGTTTACTAGAAGAATTATTTTTGCCTTTTTTGTTTGGTGGGAGGGAGGGTTTCATTTGATGAAGTATTTAATTTAGTATTATTGAATTTAAAAAGCAATATTACATGGAGCATTATTAACTCAATAGTTAAGAAGCCAAAGAAAAAAAAAGGTTTGCTCTATGATCTAGAGCATCTTAATAATGGTGCTTGATGGCCTAGGTAATGGAACACCTGTTCATCAACATTTCTTCTTCACTTTGCTTTTATGTAGAATATGAAGAGGAGGAACTTAAACGTCTGATCCGAAATTTTTTTAAAATTTAAATGAAATAAGGTTTGCTCCTTCTGTTGAGTCTGTTCAGGTTTTATAATTTAGTTGAAGTAAATATGGTGTTTATCAATATGCTCTTGATAGAACTAAGTGGAGCCTGAACCTATTCAAGTAGAGGCTTCAATCTATAGTCCATTCATTCCAAATATTTGTTAAGAAATGGATTTTAGAATTACTTTCAACTTTTTGTTTTTTCTTTTAATGTATTTATTTTTTTACACAAGGACAAAAACATGTGATACCAAAGTTGTTTGTTTTATGAATGTCATTTTGTTTTCCTAGTTGTTTTTTTTTGCTGAAATATTTTTGCAACAAAACATTAAAGGTTTGGAAATCGTTATACTTTTTATGACAGCCAAAAAAAAAGCTTTTTTAAAGGCCAAATTTAAATATACTTTATGATTTCTCCTAATCATTGTAAATACTTCTGATACATGTAAATTTGTTTCTAAAAAACACAGCACTTATTGCCAACTAGCTTTTGGCCTGTTTATGTAATTCCACCCATTTTCTTGACATCAGCTGTCAACTAAAAGGTTTTAATGAAGTCTAGCACACACACACACACACAATGTGAAAAAACAATTCTGCAGGATATTCAATTTAGTAGCAAGTGAAAGATGTCCTTACAACTGTTCATGGTAGAAGTAAATCAACTAATTTCAGCTGAATAGTTTATCAGCTTCCTCCAGGTGTCTCTGTTCTGGGCGAGTCTCTACAACTGTCCCATCTTGCCTATCTGTTTGGCATCTGCTTCCAAATCATAGTGCCATGAATTTCTGGCCCCCCCCCCCCCCCCCCCCCCCCCCTCTTACTTTGGCGGTTCCAGGTGAGGGCTTTGTTGTGATGTTGGATGCAGGCTTGTGAAGGGTGTAGCCTATTCATCTCCAGCATCTCTGAAGGATATCTACTTCAATGGGCTGCTGCTTAGTTCTTTGACACAATACTCATTCGAGATCTAGTCTGGCAAACAAATCATCAGTAAATAAACTTTTATTTATTTATTTTTGCCATTTAAGGTGTTACCTAATTTATGGTTGCTTCACTTTTACAAATGACTATTTTTGTTGGAAACATTTGTAGAAGCCAGTTTTCCAATTCTGCAGACTGTAAGACAATTTCCTAATTCTGATTATCATTGTATAATTAATTTTAACCTTAGCATTTAAATGATTGTTGCCCATCTTCTACAATCTACTTCCATTGAAATCAAACCTATTTAATTATTGTATAGTCAAATCAGTGTTGTTGACAAGCCAGACATTTATATTCATTGATTCATTTGGTTTTCCTACATGTTGTGCAATGTTTGTACAAACTCAACATTTTGTTATATGTTTCAATGAATCATGAAAGTGATACAAATAAATCAGCTCAGCTCACACTTGACTTGTTTCTTGTTGCTATGAAGTAGGGTTGGGGATAAATCTTTTTTTTTTTTTAAATTTTAATCTCAATGAAGAGAGTACTCTATTAAGTTACTGCTAGGAAAGACATATGACAATGATGCTAGAGTGACAAAGAATCAGACCCCAAGGTTTACTAGATGCACAACTGTTAGAAGGTTGGTGTTAGGTTGTAGCCCCAGACAGCTAGTCCAACTAAACAGTTGCAGGCATATTATTTGCTTAAATACAGAACTTTGAAACAAATTTGAGCAACTTTTTTCCTTCAAACAAAAATGAACCTAATTTTGATTAACAATATAGACAGCTTTCAATTGCAATGTGGATAGATTCTGAAGTGCAAGGGAAATAATAAGATATTGAACAATTTAAATAAAATACACTCGCTTCAAAATTACAATGAATTCAACTCTTCTGTCACTCCCCATAGTTACAACCTCAAAATCTTTAGTTTTCTCATGGTTAGATAAGAATCTATTCAGCCAAGCTGAAAAAACACTTCATGTTTTATGTTAATATTCCAAGAGTTTACCAGATTCCCAACCATGTGCTGTGTTGATAAGTGTTTACCAGATGCCAACCATGTACTTGTTGATATTCCAAGAGTTAACCAGATTCCCAAACCATCCTTGATAAAAGTACCAGTAGTTTAACATTTAAACAAAAATACACATAAATTTTCTGTATTCCTACACAACTTTTCACATTACATACATTAACAGTTTTGAGTATTGATGGTCCAAGAAATAAGGAGTCTGCAAAGTTCATTTCTGGGTAGCAACGAAATGTCATTAGGATCTCAATTCAATTACTTTAACAATATTATTATTATTTTCTAAAAGAACCATAATCGGAAAATAGGCTTTTCTTATCTCTCTTCATTTGGCCATCAACAAATTCTGACACATATATAATGATGAAATGAGATTCCCACCTGGGCTTTATTTTGAAAACGAAACTTTGTACACATAGTTCAATGCTATTCTTAATGCTGCTCAATGTCACGCAACAACAGAGTAAATAAGAAATGTGTAGAAAGATTTCATATATCTTTAATGACAAGGAATATGTTGAGCTAGAAGTAATGATTTACACACAAAATAGCTCTCAAGTGTTGTGCTTGATGTGTCAAGACACAAACTAATTGTGAGTGAAATGTCGAGAGAATCATCTCTGTATTGAGGTAGTGTAAAAAGAGCATATTTCATGATAATGTTATTTTGTGTTCTGTGCATTTAGTTTCTATCTTAAGTATACAACACTGGAGCCAAATTGATTTAAAAGTAAAGTTCACCTTTCAGACCTTGTGGTCTATAGGCAGATGATGTAAAGGTCATCTGTTTCTGTGGTCTATGGTTAAGGAGGGTGACGTGGCCAGCACAAAGACCAACCGCCATTACTTTTCCCAAACTGATGTCAGGTACCCATTAGAGCTTGGTGGACTCAGAGGCGCCCAAAGATCCCGAAATTGAAAATCCAGTCTTTGAACCCCGGTTCAAAAGACAAGCGCTTTACCACTCAGCCACCGCGCCTTAAATTGATTCAGTATTTTTAAAAAAAAAAATGTTTACATTAGTGACATTCAACTATATTGGAGATACTCACAAAAAAAAAATATTGAAAATTGGAGCTTCGTGATTTCATTCCAAATGTGAGACAAACTTTCAAAATAAGTAGTCCCCATGTTTGCATAAACATCTTGATACTTACTTAAGTAAAAAGTTAAAGCAAAGATTCAAATAGTGGTAGTCTTTTACATCTCGGGTGTCCCAAAACTGTACAGGTGTGAACAATAAAAGAAAATTATTTTTAGGTATATTTTTGAAACTTTATATTATACTTGTTATGAGTATTCTTTCTAGAAAGAGCAAGAATATAATGTCAAACATATCTCCTGCTGAGAGAGTAGGGAATTACAGCCTATAGTGTTGACAACAAAATTACATACAGGTATGCAAAATATTTTATTGACTACAAAAAAGTAAATATAACATAAATAGTTTATACAGAAAAATGTGCTGACAAAGTTAAGTATATATACAACACATAGATTTTACAAAAGATGCATTGTAACCCTAACATAGCTAGCTAATGAATCAAATACAAAATGTATAAACAAAGGCAACAGGTTTTATCAAACCGGAACCAAAATTTTTTTTCATTAATTGGTTTATGTCAAATCATTTGTAGCCCCAAAAAAAAAAATAATTTACAATCTAAAATATGTAAATGGATATTAAAAAAAAAATTTTTTTTCACAAATGAATTAAATACAAAAAGTATCAACAATGGCAACAGGATTAAAATGTTTTAGCTCCATCATTCAATAAGTCAATAAGCTTTGTTTCCTCTTCAGAACTAGACTTTGTCCAAGCTAAAGGCAAGTGGGCAGGTACTGGTTTACGATCTAAAAAAAAACAATTTCATTATTAAAACAGATGTAAAGAAAATAAAAATATGTTAAAAACATAAAACAAAAAGAAACTTAGAATTTATTCAATTTTATCACAGTTATGTAAAAAAAAAATACTATACAAAATATTCTTAGAAAAATAGTAAAGAATACCTTGGAAAAATAACCCACTCTCATATTTGACTGCAGCTGGTGAAATAGCCAACCACACCACAGTATCTGCTCCTTCATCTTCCGTTCTGAGTCGATCCTTCATCTTGTTATAAAATCCAGGAAGTGATGTTTGTACTCCTGAGATGAAATATTTTTGTAAAATTCATTTTAACTTTTAAATTCTTTTGACTAATAAATTAATCTATTTATTTTCTCTACATTATTAAAGGCTGGAAAGAAAGCTAGCATACACTAGAGAACGAAGAAAAAGAAGGAGCTAGCATACACTAAATGACGAAATCTTTTTGGTTGCGCTACATAAAAAATGACGTGGACAAGTTGTCTAAATTCACGTACTAATTTTTTAAAAATCTTTATCAAACTATTAAATGGGAGAAATCTTAAGTTTATTTCAAAACAATATTTTATCTATTTTTATCTGAGTATTTAAAAAAAAAATTACATCTTATTCTTTTAATGAAACCAGAACTTTTTTTTTCTTTTCCTTAATTGTGTTATGTCATATATTTGAATTCAATGATTTGATTCTAGATCTATAATATAATTAAAGATAAAAGCTAGTATCATTCTGAAGTCTTAATGGACATTAAGCTCAAAGGTGGAACATTTTTTTTAATCTTTTTTTTTTGTTGTGTTGGTATTTATTTTTTCCTTGTCTTTAATGAAAACAAGAAAAGCCTAAAAAAAATACCCTTTTAAAAAACAAAGCTTATACAAAGCGTCATTGTATCAATTAGTTTGGATCAGTCACATAATTAAATTTGTCATAGATCTAGACTAACAACAATAAATCTGTTCATTCAGAAATTTTTTTACCAATTGTTTTTATTTAGTGCAATTTTGTGCTTTTAGCTTTCTCAATATGCAATAATCATATCACTTATCTGGACCAGTTTGGAATATTGGATGGGGGGGGGGGGGGGGGGGGGGGGGGAGGAGAAAGTAAAATCTGCATTAATTTTAGCATAAAAAAAAAAAAAAAAAGAAAAATGGGAACGACTTGAATTCAAACTCATGACTCAAGCCTCCTCTAGTGAGGTTCTTATGACTATAACAGATTGTTTAGTTATGCATTGTTTGTTTTTATGTTATTTTAAAGCAGTGACCTATAAAGGGGATTAATTCAGCTTATACCACCACTTCCATTTCTTTCTCTTCAACCAAACAAAATAATTAATTACCAATAGTTAATATATTGGTTAATATTTTTTTTATTGATTCTAGTGTTGTCAGGTAAAAGAAATAATTGTAAAAAATTTCAGCTTGATCCGAGATTGGGTGTTGGAGAAATAACGTTTTACCAGATAGACAAACAAGAGTGAGTTGATATAAGCTTTGTGAAAAAAAAAAAAACTGTATTTTTTAAAATGAGTTTATCATAGACAGTCAGTGCAAAGCTTTCACTCAGATGGGCAAAATGGTAAAAGTGGGCAAAGTACTATTGTAACTGTGGGATTTCCAGTCAAAGGTATAGTTTACCTAAAAATGTATTTTGAGGAATTTTTTTTATTCTAATCTTTCATGACACTAAAAATTAAAGACCTTTTGTTTTGATTGAAACACGAGTAAACATATTTTATGGATACAAGAAACATTATTGATATGTCAATAATTATTTAGTCTTATTTCTTAATCATTGATTTTATATATATATATTTATCATCAGACCAATGACCTTGTGTATCAGCCCATCCGGGATGCATGCTAGAGAAGTGCACTTTGGGATACATCTTGGCATACACTGAAGCCATTACAACTTCCTGTCTCTTTGTCTGTGCATAAGCTATGGTGGCATCAAATTTGGACATCTTCTCA